CTGTCCTCTTGAGGAACTCCGAAAAGGTCGCGAGGAGACAAGGCCTCCACCCCAAGTATATTGGTTTTGTGTTGTTGACTTCCATCTCATCAGACTTTTATCACTTGATCCATCTACTTGACCTTTGGGTGAGTCTCCAAAACTATTTCTTTTAACAGATTTTGCATTGAGCCCCATCAGATCCCTGAGGACAGCGTGAGCCATTTCTGAATGATTAGTGCCCTGCTTTGTTCTGCGTGAATGGGGCTTGTAAGAAAAGCTTTTTCAGCTGGAGATCGGTGGAGGGGAAAGACACTGACAATGCCACAGGAATAAATAACATTCTCACACACCATAGTCATATCTCACTGGCTACTGACAATAAAAAAAGTCTCTCAGGGTATGATTTATTACTGGAAGAGTGGAATGCAGATTGCTTGCAAGGTACTCCTATTTACGTCAATGACTGAATGTGAATTGCACAGAAAGTGCCGGCAAGCGGGATTCTTTCCACGTTTGTCTTTCTTTACACATCAGTAAAACTAATGATCACAAGCTGCACAAGATGTCACAGATCTGTATTTCTCACAAAAAGCAAAATTACAGAAAAACATAAAAAGTAGCTACCATGTCTGAATACAAATACCACCATGGAGTGACACTTCTCTCCTAAATTCCAACCTTTGCTGTGGTCCATTATGTATCCAATCTGTAGTGATGGGGTAGAGTGGCCACTCCTCACGTCCATCTGGTTAAGTGTTGATTGTCTGAGGAATGAGACTGCCCAAGTAGTAGTGCACACCCTGCTGTTAACACCAATACGGCAAGGAGGAGGCATCTCAAACACTGATACCGTGTCTAAGGGGATCCAAATGTGATGATTTCAATGCTTTACAAGTGTTTGTGCAATATTCATGACAATACAACACAGAGAGAGGGGGAGAATAGAATGAAGAAGCCTGGTTGCAATCATCATGAAGAAACAAGTGGTCAGGGTGTGCAGCTGTCAAGCATCAGGGTTACAATAGGGAGATACTGATTGACTTTCGATATGTTTAGATGACACTGAAGCACACTGATGCCTCGTTATTTTTTCCATTAGGTTTACTCATACGAGTGTTCCAAGTCAGATTAAGGAAACCCTCTTAAATTAGTCAGAAATGTGTCATTTTAACTAGATGAATACTACCTGGACATGCTCATGAATCGCTTTGTAAGGTTACCTATTCAGAAGAACCACTGCAGTGCAGAGCCTTTGGTCCTGATGTAATAAATCAGTAAACAGAAACACATTTCTCATACTTTAAGTAAAATATATAAAGACCCAACTGTCAGATACCAACGATTCTAAGCCAGGTATATGATGGGGCTGCTCTGATGTCTGGTGTGGTGTCCAGAAGCTCCTGTTTGAGATACCTTACGTACACTTAACCACCGGCTACACATGGGGGTAGTACATGTAATGTAAGCCATGACCGCTGTGGTAGACTTTTTATTCATGTGTGGAATGCCCTCTACAATTAGCCCACAATTGCTGTGCACTAAAACGCCTTCTTGAAGAGAGATGGGCGGGACAGCTTGCCACCCTGTCAGTCATTCTAAAATGCTTCCATCACATAACATCTCTTTTGACTGAGATTGACTCTGTGCTGGCTCTTGGCGCAAAGATCCGAATCGAGGCAGTGGACCTGCTGCACGAGATGACCGAGCTGTTTCCTCATTCATTGCCAAGTTAATTCACACAGTTCTTGCCCTGTTGGATCAACCAAACAAGCTTCTACGGAGAGAGGACACGGACTTGATGACCAGTTAAAATGTTGCGGTTAGTGCAGCAGCTTGTGTGCATAAACTCCACTGTGAGGAGGAGTTCAATGAGGTGTGAGACACAAAAACAATTGCAGTCAATAGACGGGGTCCTCCACAGAAATGTTTTGAATAACGTATTTTCAGACCACAGACGCACAATGCTACACAAAAGAAAGGCCCTGTTGGTGCAGCTAGCTTTTGAGAGGGAAAATGTACCACTGAGCAGAAGGACACCGTTCAACACAAAACTTAATAAAAGTAAGAAATTTTATTTAATTCACTTGATGCCAACCTTGGCAAAATGTTGAAAGTCTGCATTTATTCAAGTGGAGTAAGAGTGAAGTATAGTCTTTTTCAAACGATGATGTTCTAATGTCGCACACAGTGTGTGTGAGAGAGGGACAGAGAGAGAGAAAGACGGGGCTCGTAATTAGGCTAAAGTTTGTGCAGTATGGGTGCATAGTGCATTGTGTGTCTGGGCCTTTCTCATTTCCCTAATTTGTGCCTCCTTGGTCCTCTGCCTGTGACCTGTAAATCAATTTCAGCACGCCATCTTGAAGGAAATCTCAATTCCTAAAATGCACCTCGAGGATTGAGGAGGCTTGCTGGAGGAGCTATGAGCGAGAATACCCCGGTGTAGCCTTTGCGAAAACTGTTCGGCATCCGGGACGTTTAAAAGAGGTGTGACATGCAGCTGGAATATCCAACCCATGGCTGGAGAAAACACAGTGTTCTTTTGTATTCATCAGTTGTAGTAGTTATTTAAGATGATCAAATACACGATCAAACTTGCTGCCCTCCGCCGTTTGTGTAGCGCTTTAAGAAGCGCTGTTCTAACCGCATTCTTTAATGTCATTAAAGGGGCGGGGTGGGGGATGATTTATGCATACATGAGTATTCAGATAATTTCAGAGCCGATCAGCGCCTCACACCAATTCAGCTGCTGTAATTGTGACAAAACAAGTGCAATCAGATGCTGATGTCAAATTATTAGGCTGTGATACCAACCACAGCATTCAGTACTGATCTGCTTGTAATAGTAGTGCCCATTATGTAGTCAGCACATGTCATTCCTATACTAGTCTTGTGATGACAGGTATAATTATGGATGTACGCTATAGGCCAGCCCTACTCAAGTGGCGTCCCAATTGGACGTGTTTGAACGTGACATTGTATGTAGCAGCTGGTCTGCCCATCTAATAGATATCACAGAGGCAGGCTCAAAACAATGGACAGATGCAACATGTCATATTTTACTCACGTCACTTTAAAATTTCCTTTCGTTAAATGCCCGTTTCATTGATTCCTCTCTCCTCGCGTCTCTTCCTAAAGTCCTCTGGGTGGGAGGGACTAAGACGCGATGCGAGGAGTCAAGGATTGAAGATCAAGGAGGCGAGGAGGCACAAATTAGGGGAATGAGAAAGGCCCTCTCTCCACAGGAGACTGTGGCAGCATGGGTTGGTTGGCTACGGCAAACTGATATTATCAAGCGTAGGTCTAAACATAGATTTCTCAACGTCCATCCTAATGCCCCAACATTTGATTTGTTCTGACGCTGCACTGGTTGGTTGGAGTATTATCAACCAATACCAATAACCCAGTCTATTCAAAGCTTTCGCTTTGTTGTGTAGCATTATTTATTTATTTAATTATTCTTAACAACATTGTATAGTAAGTACTAAAAATAAGGAATGAGAAAGTATCATGAATGATTTGACAACCATCTATTTATTGGCAGGCAACATGTGCAACACATTTCGCTCTCTTAGAAACACAACTTAAACCATAGGAGCCTATGCTTGGTTTTTGAAGCAGCTTAACAAATCTACAGCGTGTCCCACAGATCTAACTGTGGCAGGAAGAGGAGGGGGACATATTTATTTTCTATTAGGTTATATTTTTGGCCACTAAGGAGCAATACAACAAGCTGTCTTTTTCTGCCCTTCTTTTCCTTTAGTGAGAGGAAGACTATTTGTATAGTTTGACCAATACTAAACTGTGTTTATGCATAAGTGAAGAATCTGAATATGAAAAACAGTGGTGAATGCAACACGTAGTCTTATATAATATGCCACGAAATAACAAATGTGTTTGCGGGACTCAAATATCAGACCTTTTGTTTCACAATCTGCACATGTCTACTGGCCAAGCTAGTCAGAGTGCTTTCTCATTAGTCAGCCAGCTGAGGTGTGCAATATCTTTAGCAGGAAGTGTGTGTGGACAGTGGACTTGAGTGTCTGAGAGCACTGGGCTGCTGCAACTACAACTGATGGTCCCTTTGGCACAGGTCTAAAGAGTCGATAAGGCGTGCTGACTTCACTTCTTCATATTCTGATGAAAATGCCAGAGGACTATTTTATATGCTCAGAAATTGCTGAGGCTGATTGGACACAGGGGTGTTAATTAAATGTTTAAAGACATTATTGGGCTAAATTTACAGTGTGGAAAGTGAAGCATCTTATTGATTCTGACATTCAGATGTGAAAAAAATATGGTACATCTTTTATGAAGCTGTCTGAAGAACTAGAAATAAATCATATGCAGCCCCTGATTTTTGTTTGTGTATCTGTTTAATTCTTTATTTCTTCTTCTTCTTCAACTTAACACTGCCTTTCATTTTATTTTGTGTTGGAATGTTCAGCACTCATAACTCATGGAAGTGTTGAATTTATTCCTACAAACGGAGGACAAAGGTCTAATCAAAGGCACTTCCCCTATGGCATCAAATGATAGATCAAAGTGATTCCTTTATTCAGTCATCTCCCGTAGCAAGAATCTTACCAAAGCTCTCCAAAGTCTGCAACGACTCAAAAGTCTGTGATGTGTAATCAGATAAAGGTATTTAGCAAAAGCAAGTGAAGGATGTGGTTCCATCCTAAAATGTGCTATCTCTGGTTTGAAATCAGATGTTGCCTGAGATGTTCTTATCTATTAAAGTAGTCATGTTTTCATTACCAGAAAGGACTGTACCTTTTAAGCGGATGCAGTTTTTAATAGATGAATATCTAACAGCTCTGCCAGTATAAAATAATGAATGTCATTTTAGTCAGTGTACTTGTGTTTAAAGTCGATTATGTAGAGCAAAACAGTATGACCTTGTGTGTCATATTTTTCTGAGTTGAGGTCATACATATTTACAAAGATGTCAAATCTTTTTTGTTTACACATCAGTTTAGTTGTGGGTTGATTTTAAAGGTGGCCCTCTTCTACAGACCAGCATCCCCAAAATGCATGTGCTAATTGCGGTGTATAGAAAAGAATGTTTGTATGTCATTAGAAGGAGACAAGACTGATATTAGAAGTCCATATAATAAGAAAGTCTTATGAAACGCTGAATTGTACATGAAAGGGTGAGGTGTAGTGGTTTCTCTGGTCAACTTGGGGTCCCAGTAAGCCATACACAAAACTAGAGCCATATGGCACTGGCTCACCGAAATTGAATGCAGCCAGCGTTAATGTTATTAATTCCACCTGTGAGAGTGAATCCTAAGTAAATGTTCTTGTTTGTCCAATACCTGCAAAACAAATGGTATTCCCATAAGCCACCGTTGTACTTTGTGTTTAGCGCTAATTAGCTAATGTTGACATGCAAACATGCGAAATTAAGATGGTGAACATGGCAAAAATTATACCTGACAAACATCAGCATGTGAAATATACCATGTGGAGTTTTCTTTATGTAACGATCCAATCTCACCACTCACAGCGTAACAATGACCGTGCGTGATAAATGTGGTAGCCTGAAAAGTGGCTTTAAGGGGACACACAAGAAAAAAAACATCACAAATGCATTCATCAGCATTGCAGTGGAAAACAGAACTCTAGCTGAGAGTTCAATATTTAATATATTAATAGGTCCATAGCCTAATATATAATAGCAATTATATGATAGCTTATGTTGCAATTCTTTACATTTAGGTGAAGAAAAACTGGTCACACCTTAAACCTGCCACCACAAAGCATGTTGGACCGGAGAACAGCTGGACCCCAGCCCCATACTGACCCAGACTGAGGAGAGCATTTGCAGTTTTCTGTTATATATTTGTTTGATAAATGAGGGCCAATGTGTTGTATCCTGTCATGGTCTATCTTTGACCAGTGTATTTTTTAGTAGTTTCCTTCGCCTGCTGTTTCTCCGGTGAGTTGTGTGGGTGTGTGCAAATGAGTGTGGTCTCAGGCACCTGGCTCTCCGGCACAGCTGCTGACGATCAGCTAATCAAGCTCCTGCAGAAATACTCTGAGCTCCTGACAGTCAGCGTCAAGAGCAGTGACAAAGGAGGGAGGAGGAAGTGGAATCGGCGGAGTGTGTGGAGAGCAAGGCATGACAGGAGAAGGACACGAGAGGATTTGTGAATTAAAAAAAGGGAAGGGTAGTGCTTCAAGTAATGACAGACAAAAGATACAGATGAACCGTGTTCGGATAAAAGCTGTAACACGAACGGACGGGATCTTCAAATATTCGCACGAGGTTAGAAAGTTTAACTACAAACGGGATGGTTATTATTGCAACAGGACCTTCTTTTGTTCAGCCACGCTCAAACCAACTCTGCCAACTAGCTCTCTACAACCCTCAGTAAGCAGCTTAGAATTCACTCAATCAGGCGACTGGATCGGCTTGAATAGGTTTAATACATCCAAAGAACTTCTATAAAAACCAGACCAGGCCAGGCCAACTGAGACCTGCGTTTTTGTCAAAACATGTGGCCACACAAGGCCAGATAAAAGGGACAGGAGTCTAATTGTGGTCGGTGTGTTGGAAAATAATCATCCTCTTGCATTACATTTCCTATTTAAACATTAACAATAACAATTTGGTATTTGACCATAAACTGTAGGAGAAAGGGTTGCTGAGAATCCGTGTACTACTAACAAATTTGCTACATCTTGTATGTGTCAGTTGCAAAACTACTACCCACCTGACCAAGCTTTCATCTTACACTGCTGAGACTTACCAGAGTTTCAATGAAAACAATACAAGGTACAGGTGTTTCTTCTCTTCACTGTTATAAAAAGTCTGATTTACAGTCATGTCCACAAATATGGGAACGCCTGCATGTCTGTCACAAAATGCACTACTTCTCCCAGAAAATTGTCACAATTAAAAATTCTTTGGTATTTTCATGTTTATTTCTTTCGTCTGCATTGGAGTAACACAAATGCCAAATCTGAGACATTCCACAACAGAACTTCCAAAATGGACTGGACAAAATTATTGGCACCTTATATTTTGAAGCACGTGATGCTCCTTTTGATTTGGAAAAAAAAAAAAAACCTCACCTGTAGCACTTCTAGCACTTCACAAGTGCTGGCAAATCATACAAGGTTGACTCAACCTTTTGTGTTGTGTGTCTGTGTACCACACTGGACATGGACCAAAGAAAGATGATTAAAGAGTTGTCTGAGGATTTGACAACCAACATTTTGGAAATGCATGGACAATCTCAAGGCTACAAATCCATCTCTAGAGATCTTAATGTTCCTGTGTCCACTGTGTGCATCATTGTGAAAATGTTTACAGCCCATGGCGCTGTAGCTAATCTCCCTGGATGTGGACGAAAGAGAGAAATGGATGAAAGATCACACTGCAGGATTGTTTGAACAGCGGATAAAGAACCTCAAATTCAGGCTGACCTGCAGACACAAGGTACAACAGTGTCAGCTTGCACTATCCGCCACCATCTAAATAAAAAGGGAGAACCCCACTGCTGACACAGAAACATAAAAAAGCCAGGTTGCAGTAAGCCAAAACTTACCTGAGGCAGCCAAAATCCTTCTAGGAGAATGTCCTGTGGACAGATGAGACTAACACAGAGCTTTTTGCCAAAGCACATCATTCTTCTGTTTTCAGAAAAGAAATGAGGTCTTCAAAGAAAAGAACACAGTCCCTACAGCCAAACATGGTGGAGGGTTCACTGATGTTTTGGGTTTGCTTTGCTGCTTCTGGCACTGGATGTCTTGACTGTGTGCATCGCATTATGAAATCTGAAGTCTACCAAAGACTTCTGGGGTGCAGTGTGGGGCCCAGTGTCAGAAAGCTGGGTCAGAAGTCATTAGTCTTACAGCAGGACCAACCCATTCTCACTCCAAGTCGTCAGATATGGACGCATGTTCAAGAGCTATAGTCGTCAGTTTGTGATGCACTGGGGATCCCTTTACCATCATAGTTCATCGAAATGGGAGAAGCCCTGTAGCATCATTTTGTTGGGCAAGTGTATGATATTTAACAGAAAAAAACAGAGTAAGGAGATGGTTGGGGTGGATGGAGGGCCAGAACCCCGACTATGAACCAGGAGACCGGGGTTTGTGTACTGTATGAAACAAGTCAACATTAAATCATTTTTATTTAGGCAAGTTAGTTAACTTACGTGTTAACTGACTTACATGTTTTAACCCAAACTGCTGATCTTTTCCTAACCTTAACCAAGTAGTTTTGTTGCCTAAACCCAACCAAGTACTTTCTGTGCCTAAACCTAACCAAACTTTAACGTTTCACGACTTTAATAACACGCCGTTTCAAAATGGCGATGTTTTGAAATGCTAGCGTTTTACTTTGAAAGTCTAACCAGACACATATTTATTGTTGCTAACTTTACTTGAAGTATATTTGTAGTTGCTTACGGACCTGTCAAAATACGTCCTGACAGAGTTATGTTAATGGAAACTGCTGTAATTAAGCATCTGGGGGACTGGGTGGACTGGATTGTAAATATACCGGAAGCAAAGTTCTCTGCCTTCATATTTGGGCTCGATTAACACACTGGAAACAGTGGGGAAGTACTGGCAGGCTGGCCGAGTGGAAGTGACAGACGGGTGGTGGGTGTATCAACTGATATGTTCGTGTCCAGTTCATTGTCGCCTGGTTAGATGTACCTAAGCAGCCTCATAAAATGTTTTTCTTTTCCCATGTATCCCATGCTGGCAAAAGCAAATATAATCGGCCATGCTTAGACCATGATGAGGATTCTTCATGCACAATTAATATCATGGACAGATTGAGACAATGGGCACAGACATGTAAAGGCTCCCAAAGCCTCCTACATAGGTGCAAGAACCCAAAATTCATGGATTATTGGATTTTGTTTTTCAATGAAAACCTTCATTTAGAGAGGTGGTATTCTGCTCATTTTCAGATTCAAAATCTTATTTAGGGGTTGTAACAGAACAGATCTTTTGTCATACTGCACATTGCTGCAGCTCCTCTTTTCACCCTGTGTTGAACACTTCGTTTTAGCCATGGAGTGTAATGATCTTTGTTGGGAGTTGCACATGCACAGTTCCTAGTTAAGGACTACTAGCTAATCAGAAGCAGAAGGGCGGGTCAGCGAGAAGCCCGTAAACGGCTTTCGATTCAGCTGTAGGCTACATGTTGCCAGCCAGCTTGGCAACATGGACTGGAGCAAGAGTTTTAGAGTGGTGAGTTATTAATCTGTAACAAATGTATCTTTCTTCCATAAAGTTTTATGTGGCGCATTTAGCTTTCATCCCTGTGTTGTCACAAGGATGAAAGGGAAGTAAAGAGTGGACAAGCTCTTTTCAGACAGTTCAGAGTAGTATTTTCTGTGGGAGATGGGAACTCCCTGTGGGCTGGTTCACTTTGCAAACCTATTACATGCACAAAAAAGTTAGATAACTCAATAAAAGGAGAGGGAAAAAGCCTACAAGCATAATACCACCTCATTAAAAACTGCATTTTGTGTTTACTTGTGTTATTTTTGTCTAGTATTTCTTTTTGTTTGATCTGAAACATTTCAGTGTGACAAACATGAAAAATAAGAAATCAGGAAGAACACTTTCACGCTACTGTATGTTGGAGTCTGTGTTGTGCTTGGAGCTGGTTGTTTTATGGTGTTAGTGGACTAAATGTTAGCTGCAGTGTTGTTGCTGTAGTCAGCAGAAGTTTGGGGAGCATGCACAGGACTACATCCCGACCCGATACCGTCACATAAGAAGCGGAACAGTGGCTGTTGCAAGCAACAGAGAAAACAGGCATTATGGTTCATTTTAAGTGAGCCCATTGACAAAAAGAAAGTGAAAAAAGTGATTTTTTAAAAATAAATGACTTAATTGATAAAATACACTGCTCAAAAAAAATAAAGGGAACACTTAAACAACACAATGTAACTCCAAGTCAATCCCACTCCTGTGAAATCAAACTGTCCACTTAGGAAGCAACACTGACTGACAATCAATTTCACATGCTGTTGTGCAAATGGAATAGACAACAGGTGGAAATTATAGGCAATTAGCAAGACACCCCCAATAAAGGAGTGGTTCTGCAGGCGGTGACCACAGACCACTTCTCAGTTCCTGTGCTTCCTGGCGGTGCTTTCACTCTAGTGGTAGCATGAGACGGCTGGCCCGTGTTCCCCAGACCTGAATCCAATTGAGCACATCTGGGACATCATGTCTCGCTCCATCCACCAACGCCACGTTGCACCACAGACTGTCCGGGAGTTGGCAGATGCTTTAGTCCAGGTCTGGGAGGAGATCCCTCAGGAGACCATCCGCCACCTCATCAGGAGCACGCCCAGGCGTTGTAGGGAGGTCATACAGGCACGTGGAGGCCACACAAACTACTGAGCCTCATTTCGACTTGTTTTAAGGACATTACATCAAAGTTGGATTGGCCTGTAGTGTGGTTTTCCACTTTTAGTGTGACCAGGAATCAGGCAGCTAGGGTGGGCCTGCTCAACCCAGCCTACGGCTGACAACACCCACTAAGGCAGAACCAACCCTGCATTCTGTGATTTGTGATGTCCGTTAGTCTAATCCTTAGCCAAACTCCTAACCAAATTTAACTGAATTATTATCATAACGTGCACTTATTAGTTATCTTGCTCCTTATGAATCAATTCTTCCCCACAATAGAACAACTCAATTTACCTTGAACCTCATCATTCTCATTGTTTGCATTCTGTTTTGTTTAGTCATTATTTATTTCTTTGATGTATATTTAACTGCATTTATATTCACCTTTAGTTAGCTAATAAATTTCACCTAAATCACAGGAACTGTGTGTGTATTGTTTAACTCCAGGTCACTGTAACGGAGGATTTACGCCTTCGATATGAGATTGACTGATTTATAAAAATTATTAAGGAATTACTATTAACTGATCACTAGGAATTATTGTGT